TTCTTAGAAACAGTAGTTTTTACTGCTGGCTAAGCTTATCTTTGGTTTTTCCCTTAAAATTAATCATTTATTTGAATTAGTTAAAATCATATAAATTTATATATAATGTAAATTGTACATATATATTTGCACTCAGCATTTAATGAACAAGAAATAATTCATTGTAGTGATTTAATTTGACAAACATTCATTAAAAATCTTCATATAGGCACAGAATCTGTAATAATGAGTAAAATTTTTTTCTTAAAATGCTCTGTTACAGTTTATTACTCTTCTTTATGGGAAAATACTCTACCTTGGATTAATCAGATACGATTTTGTGGAAATCTCTGAATTAACTACTGTTACTTCATAAATCTTGTTCCTTTATTTGGTATCCTAGGGGATGAGCGTGTGCATGTGTGTGTATATGTTTCTGTGTGTATAACATTTTTGCATAAAACACACATGCAAATTCATGTAAAGCAAAAACACAAATCCTAGGAAGAGAAAGGCAAAATCAAGGAGGAAAATAGTATTTAGAAGATTTGCATGGAATGATACTAATAAAATGTAAGTATCTTGCAAACAGAAACTAGAAATAAGTGTTTCTTCTTCTGCTAACACAGACAATATGTAAGTGACCCTTACTTCAACATACATCCTATAGAGTTCAATGGTCACCTTAAATTGAGAGCCCCAGAAACTATCCTTCACTATGTATGTTACAACATAGACTTTTCTCTTAACTTATATTTTTCTACAAAACCTACCACTATTTAAGTTTTCTGTATAAGCCCAAATTTTCCTCAAATGCCTTGGGGTTTCAAAAGATTCAGTTCAAGGTAGATGCCCACCATATAAAAGGGGCTCTGTATTAAATATCTGCAGGGTAAATAATTGACCAAACCAATAGCTGATAAGCAGTATTTTATCCAAACTTCAGGAGCTTGACTGAAAGACAAATAAACCACTCAATAATAAATAATTTAGTGAATAAATTTAGTAGATATCTATTGAGTGTTAATTATGTTCCATGTACTGTGTAGGTACTAAAATGCCAGACAGGGCCTCATTACATGAACTCACAAAGCCTCCTGTCAGAAGACTGAGAATACCTCCACAGAAGGAGTGTAATTTTAAAGCACAGGACATTTTCTCAATTAATGTGTGCTATTAATTTCTTGGGTAATTTGGAAAGCATTGGTTCTTTTAAAATTAGGATTTTTTAATATAATGATATCAAATGATCAGTATACTATATCAACCTTGTTTTATTTCTTCTTTTCACACATTGGAGAAGCAAGGCCCTCTAATGTAATTGATACCATACTATGTTCATTTTGAGTTAAATTGCCTTATTTAAATTACCACACCAATTTCAGTTTTTCAGCTGTATAGTTCCTCATAAAACACAGAAATAAGCACAGAAGTGAGCGCATATATACCTCTGAACCACGGTGGGGGTAGGGGACTAAGAAAAGAATTGTTGTCTCATTCAGGGAGTTAGAGAGCAGATACTTTTAAATAACTCATGTAGACTTGAAATAGTGTCTTTGTGGGGTATTGCTGGTTGGTCATCAGTGTTTGCTAGAGTTGTATATTAAGAATTTGAACTGGTTCCTTGAAAACAAGCTATGACCACAATATTAAGACATCTTTGACAGACCACCAATAATTTTCTTACAGCTAGTTCTATTTTCTACATTACTTGTAAGTCTTGGTCATGGTTTTACTCATGGAAAAGAACAGTGTTACATTTTCCCACAATTATTATAAGCCTTTATACTTATCATTTTAACAGATACATATTTTAATAGATATACAATCATTAATATCAATATTTTTGAAGCAAGAATTAAATTCCTCTACCTAAATAGTACCAGGAAAGTATAATATATGTGTATTATAGGAGTATAAGTATAATGGTACATATTAATAGTCAAATTTTATAAATAATTTAAAAACCAATATTATGTAGTAAAGTGTTTTTAAAAAAAAGATACTTTAATGATTATTTTGTTTTGAATATAAAAGAACAAAAATACTTATTTAAATTCAGTCTGAAGAATATCTAAAAGTTTAGAAAGTTAAAGAGCATAATTCTTTTTAACAATTAACTTAGATTTACATAGAAATTTTGAAAAGAATACCATATAAACCTCTCAACCAGCACTCTTAAGCACCGGAAAAATCATTATCTTTCCCAGTTCTTTCAATTTCTGTCATAAGTAGCACAGAGAAGAGAACTATATATTTTGGTAATTAATTTCCTTAAGATAATGTTAGAAACATCATGTTCTTTAAAATATAAATGAATTTCAAGGTGAGCATGCTGGAGGATAATATTAATGGCATATGATTTATTGTGACAGGAGACCTGATCTGAAACACCGTTATCAGGACTACTTAAAAAAAATCCATTTGCAAATTCTTGAAAATATAAAAGAGTGCTATGGCTGCACCTGTCTCAATGTTGAAACCTGAAAAGGTTTGTAAGTATGAAACTGCTTAGGCAATATATCTGGCATCACCGGAATGTATTAGAATATTTTCATATCCTAAATAGTCTTCATTATAGTTTAGGGAGTAATCTAAATGTTTCTGAGTGAAGACTCAATTTTCAAAAGTTTAGGTCAAAATGTATATGTCTAATGAACTTGGTAATGTATGTAATTTTAGGGCCGATTCTTATCTTAAAATATCGTTGGCCAATAGTACGCCTGACATTCTCTGAACAAACACTGGAAACATGTGATGTGTGTCAATCTGAAGGCATTTTCTATGTTATTACTGTTTCAAATGAAATATCCCCTTTAAACTATATAAAGATTTACTCATGCCTCAGATTTACAAGTTGCATTAAAATGTAATTTTACATTTTATAAACTCATTAGTGTGTACGAACATGTGGTTGTAAATGACACCTAACCACACACTGGGTGGTGAGAAATGTCATAAATTAGTACTGAAAATGATAATAAAAATTAAGTAGATATATGTGAATACTATGTCTTTATTATTAAGAAGAATTCAAATTATTATAGAAAACAAACTACATTAGCTTCTAATATGAAGGAGGATCTTAAACATTGGCATTCTTATACGCAGGCTATCCAATTTTTGAGAATTGCCCTTTTGTCTCTCTCTCTCCCTCTTTGCTGAATAAGTGTGTAGCAAAAATGCCTTAAACATCATTAAACTTTTATTCCCTTGTGAATTTCCTAAAGCTGTTAATGTGCTATTAAATTGTGAAAATCCTGAAGGGGTACACTACATGCTGAATTTTCCAAGCAGCATTTTTTTACTTAAAACTTATTTTACAATATGATTATTGACACAAGAATGCTTTATAAAATGACATTAAACAAGCACAGGCTAGTTGATTCAATAGTATGGTTTATGTACAATAATAAATATGTTAATTTCCAGCACATTCAAAATGTATTATTAAATGTTAAAATCTACTATAAAGTTAAATGATTTCCATTACATTTATTTATATATTTAATAAAATAAAATTAAATCTTGTAAAAGGAAATGTCTCTTTTATCTAGATATAAAGAAACATTATAGGCAGGAATCTTTAATTAGAGTACTTTCAATGTAAATTTATAATATGCATAGCACAAAATTCAAACAAAACACACAAAAATATAGAATAAAGTTTTAATCTCCACCAACCACTTGGTTCCCTTTTCTGGAAGGAACCAGCATTAAAAGATTTCTGTTAATCCTTCTAAGGACCTTATGTACACATATACATATATACACTTCTTGCATTTTTGTTAAAACAAAACTTATAGCTATCTGAGCAATGAAAGAAAAAGAAAACCATAACTTCATGATTTATGATTTGTAGTGTAAGAAAGAACTCAAGGCAAACCTAAGGTAGGTATTAGAAACAAGTTTTGATATGTTTTGCTAATACATTAAAATAGGTAAATTTAATAAAAAGTCAGAGAGGATCTCATTAATCATGAAACTATCCAATATGATGATTCTTATATAAAGTAGTACACTAAAGTTTAGATTTAAGAAAAACCTAGAATAATTTTGAAAACACATTTTAACAATATTTATTTTTATGAACCCATTATGGAAGAAAATTATGTCAACATACTAGTACATGTCAACATAATAGTACATGACAGAATGAAAATAAATATAATAATTTTCAGAGGCTATTGCCTAGTAAGTGTCTCTAACATTCATGAAACAATATAAATATAGCTAAATACAGAGGCCATAGATCCTTTGTTTTGAACATTTATATATATGTATGCTGATTATGGTTTTGTAACTTTATGGAATGAACAGTAGAAATGGGTATAACTGAAGCAAAAGATGATTCATTTCTTTGACCCATTTTTTCCATGGGAGTAGGGAGGGAATAGCCATATATTTTTCTAGAAATGGGGAAGACACTAAGTCAAAGTTTTCTCTGTTTCCTTAAATACCAGAAGAAGTGTCAAGGTCTACATTTTGGAGGGAGAAATGTTCACATATTGCTGTGGCGGCAAAACTCATTTCGGTCATCAAGGCTTCTTCCCGTGAAGAAAGTGTTTAAAAGTAATTCATTAGGACAGATATTTCCCTGGTTCATTTTCCATTTAGTTGAGGCCAATATTGGACAAATAGTATAATGACTGGAGGCCTTATATGATATCTGTGTAATATACAGTTACTCAACATTATCAAATTAGAGCCTCATGTTTTTCTTTGATATTTGGGATTAGCGAATTCTCCTACTTAGCCATGTAAAGACTTCAGTATATCTTAATCTCTCTTTTCTGCACATGACAATGGACTAGGATGACCACGTTGCATTTCCCATTACAATCTCATTAAAACCTAAGAGAAAAATTGGAATGTATTTACACTTCTGTCTTTATACTTACACACCAAACTTATTTAGTTAATATGTGAAGTATGAGTATTTTATACTACATAGTGATCCTTTCTATGACATAATTTGTCAACAGGAACCATAATTACAATATCATCATTTGTTATCTTACCTACTGTTGAATTTCTCTGGGTGTTTTTCTCTCATGATGTGGAATCTGTGTGCAATGGAGGCATCCTAAGGAGAGAAACAGAAAAGAAAAACAGGACAGTTTATGACCTTGTTGTCTTGTAGAAAAACAGATTAAAGGAGAAAAAATGTTAATGACTAATGTTTTTAAATTAACTTTTTCTTAACAATAGCATTGCCAAGAAGATGTTCTGGAATTAGGCAAAAATGTATAATTCACATTAAGTTCTGTGTAATCATGATTTATGTCACCATTTCATCACTGGTCACTTGGCATATTTACTTCTAGGAATTGATTTCTATTTCATCCATATAAATCCTTTAATAACTGATTTTGGCTTCATGCTCAAAGGGTGTTTAAGATAGAGCATATGGATATAAATGTTAAATAAAAAGTAGTTGAAAATACTGTTATACTAGAACTGGAAGGATAATCTAGGTGGAGAAATGATCAAGTAGAAAGGCTCCTGTCCTCTGAAATTAGTTATGGTTAAAAGAGAGTATGAGGGGCACATCTAGTAAAGGCAAGTATGTTACACGAGTTCAAAGTTGTTAAGAGTGTTTTGGATGTATAATTATTAATTGTTCCACAGCAACTTTCTGACACATGTATGTTATCTTGCTTAATGAAAAAAAATACAACAAATGGAAAAATTTACTTTTCGAGAACTGATGACAAGTGTAACTAGGCTCTAAGACCTGAAATGCATGAGTTCTGAATCCTAATGGATGTTTCTTCCTTTTAGGAAATCCATTCAGAGTTTCTATGAGACAGAACCACACTGAATGTGGGAGATTGCTGGAATATTGTGATTCAGGCTTTTCAAGCACAAACTGTTCTTGCTGACTTTAAACAGTAGTCCCTGTTATTGCAAGGAAGGAGATATTTTCCCATTCTTCATCTACACATGATTAATCACTCCAATGAGAAACTAATATATTTACCAGTCATCTCAATAGAAACAGCGCTATTGTTGTGATTAACTGTTAATTTTGTTTCAGAGCGGGGATAAATGAAAAAGAAAAACCGAATACAAAGAAAATAAAGAAGCTGTGCATTTGAGGGAATTTTGAAAACACTAATCAAGGATTAAAAGTCTAATGAATGAAATGAAAAGGCTAATGTGCTTATTCATGCATAACAAAACATGAGGCACAAGAGAGGGACCAATGCCCACTGCAGATGGCAGAGAGTGGCTTTTCCCTGTGAGATGGAGATGTGATAGAAATATGATGTTTTTCTGTACTCTTTACCCTCTAAAAATTGTTGAGTTATTGAACTAATCCACAAGTGAAAAGAAAACAAAGTACAGATAAGTATGTATAAAAACAACATTTATTTTAAAAGTTACCATAAAACCCTCTATTTTTTTATTCTAAGATATAACTTTGTTATATATGCATGGTCAACTTCTTGGTTTGCTAAGAAGAAGGTATATCAAGGTGGCTCACTTTTATTGGTCCAATAGTTCTAAAACTCAATTAAGAGTTTGCTCATTTTTAAAAATATTCTCACTAATAAGTCATGAATGTATTCTATTTCAGAATGTGAAGTTGTCTTGTTGTGGTATGAAATTATAGAAAAAATCTTAGTTAGGCTTTTTATGATACATTATGCAGCATGGTCACTAATTAATTTTCTTAAAATTATTTATTTTGAATTTAACCCTAATCTGGTTCAAAATAAATTTAGAATACTTCATAATTAAAAGCATACCTCCAGCAGCCAAGTAAAACAAAAGCAAAGAAATATGAATCAAGTACTAAGAATGAATGGTCAATATTGGTTCTCCGTAGGGAGACTATCATTGAATTTACTTCTGCTTGAATTATTTCTTTCTGCAAATTTAGAGAACTGAGACTTCTAAAAATAGATTGCATACACAATTTGCTTTATAAGCATACATTTTTGCAATAACAAGTTTCTTCCTTTCCAAAGGAAAATTAAAAGATAAACAGGAGACAAAGAGGGAAGGAGAGAAAGAATGAGAGAGAAGAGGAGAGTATCAAAAGAATACCATTTAGAGAGACTTGGTTACAACTGAGCAAACTCCGAGAAATACAGACTACCAAATAGCCAAAGACAAACTTAATGTTAGCTCTGCCTCCAACATACTTGGGCAATGGGTCATGAAGTAAATAGAGGGAAAAAATAAAAACTACTGAAGAACACTTGCATGCCTTTTCCTTGTGTTGAATGGGTTCCACCACAAAAAGAAAGTTGGCATTGCTGACTACAGGATTGATAAGGAACAATGACAGCAGGTGTTCATTTGGATGAGAATTCAGACCAAATTCTCATGGGGCCTGTCTCTGGCATAACCCCAAGGGGCTTGAAAGAGAACTGTCAAATGCTGAAACTTATCCAGCAGCCATATTTGGATTCTCCAAAAGGAGACCAAACAAGAAAAAGCTAAAATAGTGTTATTGCTTTCTTTTATATGAATTTTGTCCATTCTGTCCCTATGTATTGCACTTTTAGAAAACAGAAATTAAATCACCATCACTTCCACACCCTAAAATGGAAAAACTATGCATTCAGACAGATTTCACTTCTAAGGCTAGTAACTTTGAATAAATTATTTATTGTGAGTCACAGCTTTGTTATCTTTAAAAGGGGATACTGATAACACTTTAAAGTATTGCAGAGAAGATATTTTGAGAGCATTCTGTAAGCAAATGAAATAGTGCTCTTAATGTGATGGGAACTTTGGATCCTACTAAGAACCTTAAAACATATTTAAGTGGAAAAATACATGTTTTTAAAAGATAGGAGCCACTATTATAAAATATTCCAACATTCCCACAATTTATGTGTCAAGATAGATCTAATGCCAATATCAAAATATTTTGGATAGCCATTCATAGCAAAACTAACTTGAATAAAAATGATACTGAATTTTATCTAAAAATTTAAATTTTTTCTGAATAACAATCAAGATTTTTAAAAAGAGAAAAATAAATAGGGAAGGTATCTCTAGTACAACCAGATATGAAAAGGTGTTACAAAACCAGAATAATTAAAATAGTTTGTTACTGGTTCAGAGGTAGCATATAAAGATATAGAGATATAGTTTTATTTTAGAATAATGAATTATGCCTTTCATTCAAAGAGGGAAAGGAAATGACATTGTGGCAATAGTATTTTCTGTGATCTATCTAGGTTTTCTCTCTCTATGTAAGTTAAAACACAATTTTTATGAAGTGATCTGTAGTGGCCTGAATCATGGTACCTAAAGATACCAGAACCTATTTCGTGGTATCAGGTAGTTTTTGCAGATGTGATCAAGTTAAAGATTAATATTGTTAGAATCAGTTACTCCTTTCTACCTTACATTTCTTTCCTTGGGAATAGAACCGCCTGTTATATTATGATTGTTCTATTACTATAAGCAAGATAACGGGTGTTAGAAAAAAGCCAATTCCTGAGGTAGAATATGGGACTCGCTGAATGGTAGATACAGATTCAAAAGCAGAGTTTTGAATAGGGAGATTTTTGCCAAGAGGAGGCTTCACTATGATCAGAATACTTGTGAATTATTTAATTCCTTTAAATTAAGTTTCTATAAATTACTTCCTCTTGAAAAGCTACACTTTGTATTCAGTTTAAATTATTGCTCTCAAATTTTATAGTTTTTCCCTCTGATTATTCAGTTAAGTGGTAGAGAACCATGCCTCTCTATATGGCCACGTTGCAGAGGGAAGTAAGATTTGAGGCTGAATGTGAGATGAGGCCTGTTCCCACTCCAGCATTTTCCCACTCTCCCTGCCATTCATGAAGAAACGCTTGGGGATGTGGTATCGTTACACCGAGAAGATGCATCATCATCATCCCATCCAAAAACAGGTGATGCACTCTAATCAGGGCCTGTGTATTATCCTAAATGAAGGAAAGATTATTTTTGTTAAATGACTATCAGATGTTTTTTTTCGGGGTGGGGGGCAGATAGGATCATGCAGAATACCAGGGCAGGTAATTGAAATCTATCGCTACACCTAAGTCCTCCAGGACAATGTGAGTTACTAGACCCAGGATACAGTTATATTGAGACAATGGCCTCAAGGGAAAACAGACATCCAATTGCGAGTGACTTTTCATTGAATGCCAGGGATATAAGTACCTGAACCTTCTCCTCCCTCCCATCTTCTGCTGGGGCTTTCAACTGGCCTAGTCAATCGGAAGCAAGAGGGAAAAAGGAAGCTAATGTCCATGTAGGACACTGCCAGGCAGAAAGCAAGATGAGCAAGAGTAGAGAGAAGATCTAGAGAGGCAAACAGACGCAATCCAGAGTGAGGAGTTATAGTCCTTAAGGTTCAATGCTCAGAGCCGAATGGCAAACTATGTGTAAGAACACAGAAGTCTATGAAGCACAGGCACCAAATATATGGAAAATAATTGACAACCAAGGTGGACACCACAATATTAATATAAGTAAATTAGGCATTATATACACACACACATACACATAAATGTCTATATAAAATTTTGAATTTCTTACATAATATAGTTATTAGTTGGTACCTGGAAAAAAATACTAATTTTTCTCATTTTAAAAGAAAACACATGAAATGGAGTTACTATCTCAGAAAGTGAAACCAAAGGTGCCATTCTTATTGAAAAGCACCTGTAAGCTTAGATTTATATTTTGAGATTACACTATATACACACAAAATGTTCTGGCTTTATCAAAGAATGATGTAGCCCACATAAATATATTTCCACTGTATTTAATGCACTAAAATTTTAAATTTAAATTGACTAATTTGGCATAAAGAGCATTTTATTAAATCTATAGATTTAATTTAATTAATAGATTAATTTAATTCCTTGTCTCATTAAAATTGATATATAGCATCACCTTTAAGTACTCTTAATGGCTAGGACCATCCTATTAAATATCACAGACCTTGGACAGTGACAAACTGCCGTTCTCAAGGTGTGGGGCTGTTCACTTTACACTGAATGACTTTGGCTGCTATTTTATGGTACATTTCACTTTTCTTAGGATTTCTCATTGGTTTCTTTTCTATCATGTTAAGCTCTTAAC